ACTAAAACTGAGGTGAGAGTGACCTCTGCAGGCGGGGAGGTGGATCCTGGGCGAGGATCTGTCAACATGAATGTGGGCTCACTATTTGGCAAGCAATTGGTCACTGTTCCCTTTTTTATTTAAGCAGCAGAAACAACAATAACAGAGAAAAATAAGCAACAAACTTCACCGCTATCATTTCTGGTCCCTGCACCCCAAACAAAAGGAGCACAGTGAGTACGCTCCACTGGGTCTTGTTAGCTTACATACTTGCTGTGTCCACCATTGAACAACTAATAATTATATATTTTACTTTAAACCTCAGTGGGATTTTGCACTCATGTCATTGTGGTCTCACAATTTCTTTTTCTGTTGACACAGTTTTGTTTGCAAAGACATTTCAGTTTCTCTTTTTTTCCAGTGTTACTTTTTATTGGGAACAGTTTAATTTTGTCCTGTTTTATAAGTTTCATAAGATTACTAATGCTCAAGCATGGAATACAAAATACTGAATATAGTTATTTGCTTTTGTGTCTCTCTGCTGTCTGTGTAATGTCTGAGTGGTGTTTGCTCTCCTGCTGGACATCATATTGCCTTTGGAGTGATTATTTGTTGATGTGGCTGTTGTAGATAAGAACTTGCTTACAACAAATGATCCTACCAGACAGGGTGGCTCAGACCCTGGTACTATTTTTCGTTCCCAGAACATTCCAGATCATTTTTGATTGACCCAAGAAAGTTTCTTTGGAAATAGAATGTTGCTGTTTGGTTGTGCATTATGGTTCTGAGAAAGTTCCCAAAACCTTATAATTGTTTAAACCTTGAGGGAACCTTACAAAACCTTACAGAACTTCAAATCAGTGATCACTTTAGAGAACCTTGCCATAATGTTCTGGTAACCTTTAAATTAGTGAAACTTTTAGGGAACCTTGCAGTAACATTTCAGGTCCTGCAGTAGCAAAGCAGCCCCAGACCATCAGGTCCTGCAGTAGCAAAGCAGCCCCAGACCATCACACACATCACATGTTTGCCTGTTGGTATGATGTTCTTATGGTGGAATGTGATGTTAGCTTTACGCCAGATGTAATGGAACCCATGTCTTCCAAAATGTTGCACCTTTGACTCATCAGTCCACAGAATATTGTCCCAAAAGTGATTTGCTTTGGCAAAACTGATACAAGACTTTATGTTCTTTTTGATTAGCAGTGGTTTTTGCATGGCAACTTAATTGATGCTATAATAGCTCTAATCACTCAACTGACATTAGTTTAATTTATGAACTTAAGCCTTTATTACTGATAGAATCCAAACCCCAACGAACCAGGGAACTAGGTCTGTTGTCTGGACAAATGAAGTTTATTCGTTGTGCGCACAGGTTCCAGACAGCCAGCCAGCCCCTAAGACAAGGGACTGTCACAGATTTACAGCTGGACTGATGCCAAGAATAGACCCAGCTTATACATGACAAGTGACAGGTGTGACAGACATGACCATATAAGGAGAAACACAACAATAGGCAGCCTAAAATACAACTTTAGCACATACACCCACAACACAGCACATTTCACAACAATAAATTCGTTCATTACCAACTGAATGACCCTACCTTAGACTGGCCTAGTGGCAGAAATCTATGCCTGCCTACAAAATAAGTCATAGTATTGAGAATCTGAGTATCTCAGATCACAACAGACACACGTTTAAAACTACACTGAAAAGGCCCAGTCTTTTTTACTGAAAAACTGTTCAAAGATGCTTTACAGTCACAAAGTGTGTGTGTGAAAGAAAAGGCCCAAAACACATCCTCCGACTTCAGTTTTGTATTACATGGATGTTTGCCATATAAGTAAATATGGTTTCTAGTGTTGTTTTACTGCAATGGTAACAGCTTTAAGTGCTGTTTTTGGGGAAGGTGGTGCATGTTGGGCCCTTTTATACCGTAGTGTTTCACAGGAATGACAATGTGTTCTTGTTTGAGTTCTGTTTATTAAACACAAACACACTTGCAATCATAAAATGAAAAATGATTTGGAAAGATACTCTGGATTTGGTGGCAGTTTGTGTCATGAGGGAAGATATCTTCTTTCATGGCCCACTTAAATAAAGTAGTAAAATGTAAAGTTGCAGAAAAAACAAAAGTAAACTGAACAATGGTGAAATTAGAATAGCAAAATTCATGTAGGCCCAAAATCTAAAATGTAGATCAAGTGACAAAAAAGACTGATCTGAATGCATAATGACTACACTTACTTTAAATTTCAATGAAGAGCTTAGGCTTCAATCCCTATACAGCCCACTAGCCACAACAGGTTATGCTAGTCATGACCTAATCTGCAAATTATCACCTAACCTACTAGCCAAAAAGTAATCTGCTAGTCATGGCCTAATCTGCTAGCCACATGCTTAACCCACTAGCTATGATCAGACATGCTACCCATGAGCTAACCAGAGAGTTGTTTTTGTTTAACTTAACACTCCGTTTACATCATATATAAATAAATTAGATGTGAGTTTTATCAACACTTTATTTTATCAAATTTATATAATTGTGTGAATTTTATAAATTACTTATTGCAAAGCTTCTGTTGATTCTGTTTACATCATCTGCATGTACACCACCATCTCCAAACCAGAGAAATACAGCGTAATGTACAGAATATTCAAACACAAAGCACTTCTCAACACCTAACAAAGCTTCCACAACAAAAGACAAAGCTTTATTGCCACTTTCATAGCAAAATTCAACAGGCATTAATATACAGTTGGTTCCCCCTTTGCAGCTATAAAAGCTTCCACTCTTCTGGGAACCTTTCTGCAAGATTTTGGAGTTCATCTAGAAGAGTGTCTGTTAGGTCAGACACTGATGTTAGATGAGAGGGCCTGGCTTTGTGCACTTGGGCTCAGTCATGCTAGAACAGAAAAGGGCCTTATTCAAACTGTTCCCACAAAGTTGGAAGCATACAGTTGTCCAAAATGTCTTGGTCTGCTGAAGCATTAAGATTTACCTTGGAACTATGGGACCTAGGCCAACCCCTGAACATCAACCCCATATCATCATCCCTCCTCCACCAAACTTTATAGTTGGCACAGTGCAGTCAGGCAGGTAACGTTCTCCTGGAAGATTCATCCTTCAGACTGCCAGGTAGAGAAGTGTGATTCGTCACTCCACAGAACACATTTTCACTGCTCCAGACTCCTGGTGATGTAAGGCTTGCATACAGCTGCTCAGCCAAGGGAACCCATGCCATGAAGCTCCCGATGCACAATTTTTGTGCCGATATTAATGCCAGAGGAGTTTTGGAACTAACAGTTATTGAGTCAGCAGAGCATTGGTGACTTTTTTGCACTACACACCTCAGCACTCAGCAACCCCCCTCTGTAACTTTACATGGTCTCTCACCTCATGGCTGCGTTGCTGTGGCTCCTAAATGCTTTTCAGTAATTCCACTTTTTTAATAATATTTCTCACAGATGATTGACAAAGATTTTGAATAAATAGTCCCTTAATCAGTAATCAAATAGATTAGATATTGTGATCAGTAACCAAATAGGTAGTATTGGCTAACAGAGAATATTAATTCTCTCACAAAGGGTAGGCCTTGGTCTGTCTGCATAGGAGATTCTAGACACTGGAAAGCCCCTGGGTTCAATGACAGGCCTGTGTGTACCTACTGACCCAGTGAAGAGAGGGACAAAGTGACCTTGAAACGTACAGCAGACTATTAGAGAATGAGCTAATTTAAAAATTTGGGAAGTAAAGCGGGGGGATATCAAATTACCCCAGATATATGAGATGAAGAAGGTGTATTAGAGCAGAAAAACATCTATTAAACAACTAAATGAAAAAATTTAAATATTTATGATTTTAAATGTATGACTCACTACTTGCAAACTAACCTGCTAGCTGCCATTTAATCTGCTAGCCATGACCTAACCCACTAGCCACTACATAATGCACTTGATCTAACCTGCTAGCAGCAGCCTAACCTGTTAACAATTATCTGTCCTGCCAGCCATGGCCCAACATGCTAGCTATGACCTAACCCACTAGCTATGACCCACTAGCTACAAGTTAACAAGCTAAACCGGTAGCTGCAAACTAAACCGCTAGCCACAACTTAAACTGGTACTCATGACCTAACCCTATAGCTGCAACCTAATGGGCTAATCATGATTTAACATACTAGCCATAAGCTATCCTGTTAGCCATGACCCTACATGCTAGCTTTTGATCTAACCCAATAGCCATTGACCTAACTTGATAGTCATTACCTCACTCGCTAGACCCAAAATAACCCAATAGACATGACCTAATTCACCAGCCATAATCTAATCTGCTAGCCATGACATAACCCACCAGGCATGAGATAACCTGCGGTGAGCTAGTCATGACCTAGTTTAGTAGCCACAACTTAACCTGCTAGCCATGAACTAACCTGCTAGCCATGCCCTAACCTGCTAGCTGTGACATAACATGCTAGCCATGACTTAATTTGCTAGCCAAAAGCTAACCCAAAAGTTTTGTTTCACTTTCAGTTCTGGTGTGCATAGATCTACAAGTGTAAATAAAAGATGTGAGTTTATCAATACTTTATTAAAAGTACATAATAGTGTGAGTTTTATTAGTTCAGAGAATGAGAGAGACAGACAGAGTGAGAGATAGATAGAGGCAGAGAGAGAGAGACAGAGAGCATGAGTGAGAGAGACAGAGACAGACCGACTGAGACAAAGAGAAGGACAGAGAGCGAGAGAGAAACAGAAAGAGAAAGACAGTGAGAGAGAGACAAAGAGAGACAGAGAGTGACAGACAGCCAGACAGATGGGGTGAGAAAGATACAAAGAGAAAGATCCAGAGAGGGGGAGGGAGAGAAAAAGAGAGATATACAGAGAGAAAGAGAAAGCGAGAGAAACAGAGAGAAAAAGTGAGATAGAATTTGTTACAGTGTGTTCTGTGTGTTGTGATATTTATTAGCTCTAATTTGTACAGAACAGACATATACACAAACACACAGGAAAGAGGTTATTCTATCTCACATAGACACACACTGTGGAGCCATAATAATCAACCCCAAATCCTGCACAGAGTGGTTCAGTGAATGTGGAGCTGAAAGTATGTAGGTGTGTCAGTGTGTGTGTGTCAGAGGAGACGCTGTAGAAGGACAGAGTGCCAGCTGGATAGTCCACATACACTCCTACTCTGTTAGAACTGGAGGGAGGAGCAGAGAGATTAGTTGTGCTATTATTGTGACGGACAGAGTAACTTTTATCAGAGCAGATCAGAATCCAGGACTTTTCATTCCTTCCAAACCTACAGTCATCACTGAGTCCTTTCCTGCTGATTGTTTTATATGTTACCGCTATAAAAACCTCTCCACTCCACTCAGCCTCCCAGTAACAGCGTCCAGTCAGACTCTCTCTGCACAGAACCTGATTACAGTTATCAAATCTCTCTGGATGATCAGGATACGACTGTGCAGATTTCACATTGGTCACCTTTCTATTCCCTTCAGATAGAGAGAGCTCTGTGTGTGCTGTGCTTGGGTCGAGAGTGAACTCACAGGAATCTGCACACAAGAAGAGAGATTAGGGTGTGTGTGTGTGTGTGTGTGAAAGAGACTGTGTGTGTGAGAGAGTGAATGTATGTGTGTTAGTGTATGTGTGTGTGTGTGTGTGTGTGAGAGAGAGAGTGTGTGTGTGTGTGTGTGTGTGTGAAAGAGAGTGTGTGTATGTTTGTATGAGTGAGTGCACGTGTGTGTGTGCGTGTGTGTGTGAGTGCGTGTGTGTGTGTGTGCACGTGTGTGTGTGTGAATGTGTGTGTGCACGTGTGTGTGTTAGAGTGAATGTATGTGTTAGTGTATGTGTGTGTATGTGTGTGTGTGAGTGTGAGAGTGAATGTATGTGTTAGTGTATGTGTGTGTATGTGTGTGTGTGAGTGTGAGAGTGAATGTATGTGTTAGTGTATGTGTGTGTATGTGTGTGTGTGTGAGTGTGTGTGTGAGTGTGTGTATGCGCATGTGAGTGTGTGTGTGTGTGTGTGTGTGTGTGAGTGCGCGTGTGAGTGTATGTGTGAGTGTACTTACATTTCTTCAGTCCTGGTTTAATTCTGATCTCACCTCCATGTTCCAGTCTAAGCACACACATACACAACACACACACACACACACACACACACACACACATTAATACGTTCATTTAAACATTGTGTCTCTTTCTGTCTGTCAAATTCAAAGAGCTTCATTGTCATGAATTATGATGAACAAAAACTTAGTATGGGGAAAACATTAAAGAATAAAAGATATTATAAAAAAGCCAAACAAAGTAGTTATATATGTGTGTAATGTCATGTAAAACATGTATGCACACACACACACGTACACTGTTAAATAAATTATACAGTTATGATTATTTTAAGATTGTGTTTCATGCTTTTTTCTGTGTGTGTAACAGCTGTAAACATATTTATTTGGCACTAAACACACGCATATCTTCAGTTTCAATCATTTTCTCTTCAAATAATCTGTGGCAGTCACCCGACCCACGGGCACCGACAACAGCAGTGACAAGGCAGCAAGGCGGTGTCTGAGGTTTGTACGCCAACGTAGGCTATGAGTGACAGTGGGAGGAGGATGCAGCCACGAGAGAGAGCAGGAGAGCAATGACAGTCATGCGAGGTATGAAGGTGGCACACACATTTATTAAAGGTAAAATGTGAATTTTCGGTCTGCACAGCATGTTTAATAAACAGAAACTTAATTCTCACTAAACACATTTTGCACACCATGTCTATTTGTATGGAGCGTCTTAGAGTGGGCTCTTAAAATATGAATGGGGGTGTGGATGGGAGCAAATTAGAGATTTTCTCTGAGATTATTATGTTTAGGAGGATTAATATTAATTTTTAGCAAGAGAATCATTTAAATGGTGACAAATTGATTGGGGGATAATACACATGGTTAAGGGTAGGTGACTCTAGAATGTGTGGAGATAAATTGGATAGGTTTTATTTAAGCAAAGGCTTCAATAACAAGAGCAGGTATATTTCCTATAAAGTTTTCTGATCATCATATGGTCACTGTGGAAATAAGTTTAAGAACTACAACCCATGCACATTACTACTCACATTTTAATGTTAAATTATTATCGGGTAGGGTGGTAGGATGTAGGAGGTGCACATCAGAAATGCCAGATTCATTCAGCACATGTTGCCTCATCAGTACACTTGTAAAAAGCTGTAAAGAGACTTCAAGATGTCAAGTGCCCAGAAAAACAAATAGTCTGAAATAATGGGGTGGGGCTTCATTGAGAGCTGGCAGGAATAAATGAGAGGGATCCTATTTACAGGAACAGGTTAAAGGTGCTTAAATACGGGAAAGTAGTTTTAAGGACATTGATATTTCTCGTGCTTACTTTTTTTTCTGGAGAGACTGTACAGCAAAAGCAGATGGTCTTTTTAAGGCATACCAATAGGACCTTGATGTCTTATCCAGCTGACATGAGAAGGCTGGCAGTGCAGTACTATGCAGAACTTTTTGGTGCTAAGGACTGTGACTCTGACAGTGCTGCAGACAATCTTCAGGACCTTCCATGGTTGAGTCCAGGTCAGAGAAAGAAATTGGATGCTGACATTACTGGTAGGAACTCAACTGTCTGCTGAAGCAACTATCTGCTGGTCATTCCCCTGGGGTGAATGGACCACCAGCTGTATTTTCTCAAAGTTTTTTTTACAGTTTTGGGACAGGATTTTTATAAGGTGCTACTGGAATATTTACAATCTGGTTTACTCCCTATAAATCATTGCAGGGCATTTTTGTCCCTTCTCTCTAAGAAGGGAGATCTGGGTCTTTTAAAGAACTGGAGACCTGTTTCACTGCTGTGTTTAGACTGTAAAATACTATCAAAGTGTTGGCTAATATATTGAAATACTTGTACACTGTGATTTGTAAAGACCAAACAATTATGCATAAATTGTTCCTCTTGAGAGATGTGATTGACATGACTTTAATGAATAATAACAGATTAGACATTTTATCAATCATGTTACATGAATGATGTCACATTTTTGGTCACTGCTCAGGGAGATGATGATGTACTTAAGAGAAGTTTGGAGATTTATAAAAAGGCACCTTCTGCAAAGGTGAATGGGGTAAATATGAAAGATATTTTGATTGGTTACTGGCCAGACACAGAAGTTCCTTGATTTTCAGGAGGGCTGATAAGGGGAAGAGATAGCTCAAAGGTGTTAGGTGTATTTTAGGTAGTGCTTTATTTCAACAGAAAGACTGGGAAGGTATGTTGGATAAGGTATTAGCCTGGTTGTCTAAATGGAATTGGCTATTACCACAGTAGTTGTACAGGGGAAGTGCTGGTAGTGAATAACTTAGACTTCCTTCACATTGTGGCACAGGTTGAATGTTGAGCCTCCTGATGAACTAGTTGGAAGGTTACCGAAGAAAATTGTAAACTTTTGTGTGAATGGACAACAAGAGATGGCCTTTCCGATGGTTTATCAGCAAAAAGGGTGCCAGTAAATTTCTGCATATAACAGGGAAACTTGGAATATGAACTTTAGATGTTCTGAATAATATTGGCTGAAGTCAGTCTGTCTTGTCTCACTCCTTTTATTGATCACTTCTCCTGGTCTGCGGGATGGATTTTAAGTTGTCCAGAGATGACTGAATTTTGAGAGAGTTGATACTGGAAAAAATATATACTGTAGAACCCATAGATACAGATTAGACTGTTGTCCTCAGCTAGCTTGAGAGTATGCCTCTTGAGGAAGGAGTGCACAAAGCCAGGGCACTGCATGTATGTTGGTGATGTTAATAGGTGGAAGTCACCCATAGAACCCAGGGAGATGACCAGACTACAATCATGCAGGGTGGCCACTAGATTGCTGGAAGAGGTAAAGTCTGCCCTTCATGGTCGTTATAAACAGCTGGTGGCAAAAGGAGGTACACAGAGACAGAAAATAAGAGAGATTTTTGCTCCTGGACTAGAAGTCAAAATTGGCAATTTAAGAGGATCTAGAGGAGATCGTACTAGTGGGATTATTGTTCCATGTTCTGGAGCTGGGATATATTCAAGCTGTCTCAAAGAAGGATTTGTACTATAACTGTGTCAAAGTGGCACACCAGATCGATCTACATCAGAGATTGTCAAGTTGGCTGGAGTTGTTTGGACCAAACTTCCCCCTGAGAGACAGGGAGAGATCCCCCTATAAACCTCCTATAGAAGCATTTGGCAGATCTACAGTGGAGGATGATTCATGGGGCAATAGCTACAGAAAGACATGTGACTCATCTGAATCCATTAGTGTTGATTTTGTGGGCAGGAGAAATCTATTGATTGAGCATTTGTTTTGCACTATGATCAGTTAAGTGTTTTGTTTCTACTTTTTAAAGGTTGTTTTGAAGTATAGGACTGAAAACATGGAGTCTTTTAAATTGCAGGCAAAGCAAATTGTATAAATGGAAGACAAGGAAAAATAATGCCACAAGTGTAGGCTGGTGACGTTAAAATAGTTGATGGCAGGGTGAATAAGAGTATGAATATTGCAGGTTGGTAGATCAGGTAGAGGAGTTTATTGATAAGTAGGGGAAGGGGGAGGTACTGTGTTGTGTTGATGATGATTTTCAGTCTTCAAGTTTTAATTTTGTTTTAACTATAAATTTGGATATATCTACTGTCATAACAGTGTAATCATATGATGAAAGTTAAAATCTTTCTTTCCCACATCACACTGTCTCCCTCTCTCTCCCACATACACACAGTCTCTCTCTTTCTCTGTGTGTTTCTTTCTCCCACACTCTCTCTGTCTGTTTTTCTCTCTCTTGTCTTAATCATGAACTATTATTAATCAGAATCTTAATGATTTAATATTTATAAAAATATGAAAGAGCAGTATTTTAGAATTTAATAAGCAGGTTTTAAAAAGTTTTTATTAATTATATTATTTTAATCCTTATATTCACATTATTTTAGATAGAATTGAGGCAGAAAGAACTAGTCACTAATTAACAATTTATTGAAGCCTATATTACAATTATCATATTCATGTCAAATAAAGTTGTAATTAATACCTTATATAATTTTAATTTATGTTACTTTATCATTCACCAAAAAAACAAAAGTACACAAACAAAAATGTCATTAGCAAAACATCAGTATTAAAAATCATTAAGTAACAATTAAAGGGGACCTATTATGCTCATTTTCAATGCTCATAATTTTATTTTTGATCTTCAAAACTTTCTAGCTTGCTCGATCACCACTGCCGTCTCTCTTGGCCAGCTTTGAATGGTGTGTTTAAACAGCAGCCGACAAATCCTGCTCATTCTGCCTTCAAGCGAATAAAACGACATTGTCTGCCTCTGTGACTGGCTCATGAGAGTGTATAATGATAATGTTAACTCTTTAAATCCTTCAATCCAGATTAAGAATGAAAAATATTCTCCCAGACTGAAAAGGGCTCGTCCTGAGGAGTGGTGTGTCTCAGGAGTTAGCAACTTTAGAAGACACACAAGGGAAAGACGAACTGTCTGACTAGTCTGTGATTAGATAACCAGACAAATTATTCTGAATATTTCAGCTTCAACCAGCACTGAAGCAGCTAAAGAGAGCTATAGGTAAGGAAGAGAGAGGGTATGTGTATAGAGTACAGTTACTATACTACAATGCACAGTAACTATGCTACATTATATTGTGCAATTACTATACTGAAATTAAGGTAGGTTTTATATATTATAGTATACCGTTACTATCCTAACATACTGTACAGCCACCATTCTGTACTGTACAGTTACCATGCTATAATGTACATTTATTGTACTACAGTTTTCTGTACAATTACACTATTACTTCATCTCTAGGATTAATATGTTGGAGAGGTTTGTCAGAAATACAAACACATACCTCTAAATACAGTTGTTCATACCTGAGTATGTTGAGTGAGCAGCGTGGATCCTCCAGTCTAGCAGAGAGCAGCTTCGCTCCTGACTCTCCTGGGTGGTTGTAGGTCAGATCCAGTTCTTTCAGGTGTGAGGGGTTTTCACTCAGAGCAGAAGCCAAAGAAGAACAGCCTTCCTCTGTGATCATGCAACCAGATAATCTGCAGAGTAAAACAGACAGAGTGAAAAAGGTGAACTATTAAACAGAATTTAACAGAAACATACTAACAATTGACAATTCCACACAACTATTTAAAACATTCAAAAAAGATCTAAAAAAATTATCAATCTCATTCTTAGCTCTTTTGATGGTCTCAGTAAACAAGTATGATTAGAAATTTTTATTGGACAAAATCTGCATCTGCAGGTGGCAGGATGTCTGCAAAGGGAACTAACAGCTAAATTTATGAACCAGAGTGCTAAACACACCAGCTCAAAACCCCATCAATCCTACTTTGACCTCTAGATCTGGAGACCCTTCTCTCACATTTTAAGTGCGATGTTAATGTAACTCATTCCATCCTTTTTTAAACATCCTGAGGAAACCTTTTGGGCCTGTCCAGAAAAAAATTCTGGATACGTATAAATTTTGACTTTTGGAAAATTCCTTTTTCTCTCTCACACACACATACATCTCATCTTCCCCCACAAAGAGAAAGACATCTGGCTAAACAGATGACCAAGATGGCCTACCAGTCAGCCCTGGGTGAGGGGCTAATGGCTTTCACAAGTCCCTTAGCAGACACTTTAGAAATTTTTTTGCATCGTAAATTCCTTTAGGGTTTTGCTAGAGACTGAATTTTAAAACTCTGCTCCATTCTGTGTTCTCTGGCAAACTTAATACTAAACTTTCTACACTTAGTAGTTATTTTGATTCTTGAATTGTAAGCATATTTCATTAATCTAGGTTCTTGCGTTCCTCTACATACAAGTATATGTACTATATGTTGATAGGAAACCTTTACTAAATATAGCAATGCTATAGCATTGAGACACTATATGGACAAAAGTATTGGGACACACCTCTTAATCACTGGATTCAAGTGTTTCATTCAGTTTCATTGCCACAGGTGTATGCAATCAAGAATCTAGCCATGCAGTCTGCCTTTAAAAATATTTGTGAAATAATGGGTCTTTATAAAGAGCTCACTGAATCCAAGCGTGGTACTGTAATAAGATGCCATTGTTTGCAACAAGTCAGATTGTGGAACTTCTTCCCTCCTAGATATTCTACGATCAACTGTGACTGATATTTTTTTAAAAAGTAGAAGCATTTAGGAACCACAGTGACTCAGCCATGAAGTGGCAGACCATGTAAAGTTACAGAAAGGCGTTGCCGAGTGCTGAGGCACACAGCAGAACAACAACTGTGTGCCAGAATCTTCATGGTAAGGGTTTCCATGGCCGAGCAGCTGCATGCAAGCCTTACATCATCAAGTACAATGCCAAGTGTCGGTTGTAGTGGTGTAAAGCATGCTGCCACTGGACTCTATGGAAACATATTCTGTGGAGTGACAAATGATGCTTCTCTATACAGCAGTATGAATTCCAGGAGAACACTACCTGCCTGACTGCATTGTGCCAACTGTAAAGTTTGGTGGAGGAGGGATAATGCTAGGGGGTTGTTTTTCAGGTGTTGGCCTAGGCCCCTTAGTTCCAGTCAAGGGAAATCTTAATGCTTTAGCATACCAAAATATTTTGGACAATTGTATGATTCCAACTTTGTGGGAAATGTTTGGAGAAGGCTGTTTTCTGTTCCAGCATGACTGAGCCCCAGTGCACAAAGCAAGGTCTGTAAGGGCATGGTTGGGTGAGTTTAGTGTGGAAGAACTTGACTGGCCCTCAGAGAGCCCTGACCTCAACCCCATCGAACACCTTTGGGATGAACGGAGATCATGACCAAGGCCCTCTTGTCCAAATGCTCCTCTGGATGAATGGGCAAACATATTCACAGACACACTCCAAAATCATGTAGAGAGCCTTCCCAGAAGAGTGGAAGCTGTTGTAGTCACAAAGGGTGACCAACTCCATATTAACGCCTATGGATTTAGAATGAAATCATAAAAGCTCCTATGGGTGTATTGTGTAGGTGTCCCAATAATGTTGTCCACATAGTATATGTGTCATAGTATCAGTGAGTTGTTCAGTTATGGAAATAAACATAAAACACATCTCTACAGTTTAGATTTGGTCCAGAACGTTCATCTCATGTTTCTAGGTTTCAAGTGTCAACATTAAGCTTACTACATTGTTATTACATATTAAGTAAATTAAGAGTGGGCCCAAAGGGTTAAGTTTTTTGTTAAATTATTAATCATTTAAGAACTGTTGTCCAACATTGTCAAGCATATCTGTTTAACACTTCACTATAAACCAGATTTATAGGTGAAGGAGACACGGATAAATGCAATTACATAAGGAGGCTTTAAAGAATCTAGACTGTGTGTACAAAAGAAAAATAATTAAAAATACTGATAATTGACATTAACTCATAAATACACCCTTAACTCGCTAGTGACCCATAAAGTAATAGCCTAATTTTTTTCAAGAATCGCTTAAAAAAAAAGCTATTTCTATTTAATCTGGTCCTCTCTTAATAACACAATTTCTTAATCTGCTAGTTTATTTGATATGTAAAGAATATGATCGAACAAAGTGGAAAGAATTTATTGTGTTTCTGTAAAGCAACATTTAATTCATAGCACATGTTCAATAAATGTAAATGTTCAATAATGTTAATAAAGGAACAACTATATTTTATAAGCAGCTTATGCCAGTAATCAAAATAAACAAACAAATTAACAAAATGTTTTGTAAATTACATTGTATTGACTAGGGGTGGGAATCTTTAGGCACCTCATGATTCAGAGGCTGCGATGCGATTATAAAACGATTATCGATGCATCTCGATGCATCTTTTTTTCTATACAGGATTTCTATTTTCCTACTGTCTGAGGACTTGGGAACTTTTAAATTAAAGTATTTGTAATGATCCATAGTGAATTTACTTCCAAAATCTTTTATTAATAAGTCAAATGGAAGTGATGTGGCAAGTGAACTAGAAGGCTCTCATTCACTGCTGTTGTTTGGAGCACATGAGATGCTGCTGCCACTCATCTGCGACAAAATGTGCAGTTACGGTGAAATAAGATCCAGTGGTAATGAATGACCACGCAGCAGTTTACAGCTATACTACCTGGTTAATTCAGTGATTTTATAACTTCGGTTTTGGTTGTAGAGACGGGAGGCGGGGGGGTCGCTGTGCCACTAAAATATCTTTGAGACCGGGACGTGTGCAGCATAGCGTGAAAGCCCTGTTTCGCAACGACTGAGAACCGGCGTGCAGACTGCAGGTCACATAGCAACAATGCGTTATTCGCATTTATAAGCAGCGCAGTTAATTCCTGGCAAGTTAAATCTGCAACTAGAGACTGTCAAACACTAAACAGTTGTGAAGATGAGTTGCTTCTCTTTCGAATTTTCCCGTTCCACCTTAAATGGTGCCGCATTTACATTCGGCGCCTCAGGCAGAATTTAAGATGGAACGAGAAAATTCGAACAAGAAGCTGGAGAATGAGAAGCGACTTCAGCCTCGGAAAGCTGGAAACAATCAAACACTGAGAGACATTTTACGAGAAACTGATCTACTTCTGAAGTAAAGTTTTCTGGCGGAGATAGGAGGAAAGCGGCTATAGCTGAAGCTTAAAGCAGAGTAAAGTAAATCTGCATTTTTGTTTATATTGTTTCAGCCTCTACTAGGACATCATCACATACTGAGACATACTGGACACAAATGTTGTGGCTCCCAAAGTGGTTTGATTTTTGTTGAAAGGATAAAATGGCTCTTCTTAACATTTGGGTTGTGACTCCTGATCTAACCTGGCTTTTAACGCAGAGGTAGCTGGTTGGATTTCTCACTCATCTATGTGTGTTTTTGTTGAGTGTCCGGGCGCTGCACTTACCCACTTCCAAGTTCCGCCTTTTGCATTCTGTCAACATTACATTATAAATATTTAGGAAATCGATTTTTGTCGTTTGTGAATTGATTCAGAATCGTTTGTGTCCACATCTAAGAATCGTTTTTTTCCCGCACCCCTAGACAGACATTTGGTCCAGTATTAACACTGTTATAAAGTGTCATTCCCACATAATGAAACTTATAAGAAAGGCAGAGGTCAAGCTAAGAAAATCATATGAAAGTGAAGTTATAATAAAATATATATAAAAAAAAATAAATATTTGTTTCTCTCAAACTTCCTTGATAAATTACTTGAGTAAAAGTATAAGTTCCTTTTTTCTATGTCTGCAAATGTACTTGCTTTTAAATATGCTTAGATATCAAAAGTCAAAGTACTTTGTCATATTATTTTGATTAACAAGTTGTATTAAGGAGGCTCGTGTAACTGCAGTATGAGAGACTGAGTTGTTCATGTCTGCTGCAACACTAGTCAACTTTATTGAAATAGTACTTTTCTACTTTAACTAGAGCAGAAATATGTATGATGAATATACAGCATTCTTAACTAGGGCTTTTTCTTATACATTCTATTACTTAGGAATGATAACAATGCATTAAATGAATCAAATGTACATCACTCACATTTAAGGCCACTTATGTCAATACAATTTCATTTAAGACAAAAAGTAAAAAAACAAAACAAAACATGGCACTCTTCATTAAATAAAAGCTTTTATTATAACATGGCTATGGAAAAAAAAGTTTCAATGCATTTCAGCTTGTGCCTTCATCAGGGAGAGTCAAAATACAGCTCCACACAGGTGCTCTAAATACCTTCAGTTAATTAGTCACATGACTTTGAATGTCCAAATTTCACAGATATCAAACTTCTATACAATACAAAAATTCCAAAAATACAAAAAGTTAAAAAACATTCAGGTAAAAGCATTGGGATTGGAGGAAAGGTTGGAACAAAGGGGTTATAAAAATGGATTCTTTGTAATGCAAAAAACAAGCGCAAAACAGCTAACTTGCAACAAATTATAATGTAAAAAAACACCAGTCTTTACTTCTTTAAAGTATGTTGATCATATTCCATATACAAGTAGAAAGGAAATAGAGAACAGAAACTTAACAAAAGGGAGTCTTTTTGGATTTATGAATTGAAAGTGTTATTTTTATGTCTGGATTAAATGATGATCTGGATTTTAGCCACTTTCTATGGACATTTGATGAGACTGGCACCCTGTAGGGTCTAGTCTATTGTTAATGACCTTTGATCTTTTCATTTTTCTTGTGGCTTTTTGATATATAGTTTTATATATATATATAATATATATATATATATATATATATATATATATATATATATATATTATATATATATATATATAATATTTATACATTTTATATAAGTTTGATATCTGTACATTTCTTAGACATTAAAAGCCAGGTGACTAATTAACTGAAGGTGTTTAGAGCACCTATGTAGAGTTGTGTTGTGATTCTTCCTGATGAAAACACAAACCGAAAATTGTTGAGAGGAAATTTTTTGTCCATAACCATGTAGTATTAAAAGGTTTTATCTCATGAAGAGTGCCGTGGTTTTCTACTTTGTTGAGGAAAATTTTACCTACACAAGATTTTAATCCCTAAATGCATCAATCTTATCATCTAGAAGCCATTTTAAGGACCAAACTCTCTTTCCTCTCTGTTGGAAATGTTTTATTTTGATTTAGTTTCTAGTTTTCTGTTTTAAATTGTTATTCATTATTAAACAGTATTGAAAAGTATTAAACAGCTGAAGCCACCTCCATTCTGTCCTTGTGGTTTGAACAGTTCACAGACATGAACTCTGGACGTTTTACGACAGTAAGGTTTTCATGACAGGATCTAAGGCTCTGAAAAATCTGACTTCAGTTTTATGATGGTACCAGGGGTCCTGAAGGGGGGTTGAAGGCCAGGTATAAGAGTGGTGTGTCTGTTTCTTTTTAGATTGGTGTTACAATGAGTTGTAGGGCCTTTATACAAAAGGCCTGATTCGGTCAGTAAATCTGACACTTGCTAGTAGGGCTTTTCGTATGAGAGAACTGATTTGGTCAGTTAGACTGGCATTTGTTGTAGGATCTGCTTTTAACAGGTAGGTCTGATTCAGTCAGATGACATTCTCGTAGGGTCCTCCATGTTAAGGATCTGATTTGGTCATCTGATATTCGTGTGTCTGTTAGTCTTCGTAGGGTCAAGAAGACCCACTTCGTTAGTGTGTTAGTATGTGCTCCTTGTTTGCCCTCAGGGAGACTAGTTTTGTTTGTGCTCCTGAACTGTTTTCATTTGGTATATGTAGGGCATGTAGTGATATTTAGTTTTGTACTTGTTTAGTCTGCCTGTGAAATTTGAATTGAACTTTGAATTTTCTTGCTCCATTATCAAAGTTTGATTAGCCTAATTGAATTGAAATTTCATCTTTTAGAATTCAGATTGCTGTAAGTATTTAAGTATTAGTTTTAGAGTGCCCTGTGTAAATTTTAGAGTGACTGTGTAAATTCTTAAGTTTGACAAAGGCCTAGGAAGTGTGGTGATGACTGCCATGTTTTGTTATAAACATAACATGTTTACTCTTAAGGGTGGGGGTGTTACCTTTTATGTGCCTTGTGCTGGCATTTTGTGTTTTCCCTGTTGTGTGTCCCCTAATGTGCAGGCACATGATTGGCCAGATGGGGGTGCACAAAGGTATAAGAGGTCGCCAAGCCACCATCTTGAGAAACGTTCAGGGCTCTTTCTCCTTTGGCCCGACCTGGAAGAACACCTGTCCAGACCAGCCTGGCACTCTTCACTTCTGTCTGCTTTGCTTTGCTTTGCTTTGTGACTGTTTGATTATGCTTTGAGAGCTTGGGGAAAGTAGGGGACGGGTGTTGTTTTGGTTACCTTTTCTCCTGGTTAAGGTAGGGAGTTAGGGTAGTGAAATCATTAGTTGTTTTGTTTGTTATTTTGGCGAGTGCTCGTCCCTGAAGCCATCACCTCAACTTGTCTGAGCTTTGAAGAAAATAAACCTGTCATTTTCTGGTTTAAATGGCGTCCGGTGTCTGGTCTGGCAGCAGGTCTGAGGAGAGAGCCCGCTCTCTGTTACGGCCTGACCCTAGACCGGGTCGTAACAGAGACTAAGGCAGGTGTGCTAAGCACTCTCTTTTTAATAAAACCATCATTATTTCGGCAAACAACAGCCTCCTGAATCTCTTCCTTGGCAAGATCAAATATTTTCTATATCTCTAACAGTAAAGAAATTGAACTCTGAAATGCTCAGTTGCAATTAAATGCCTTTGAAATATTATATATATATATATATATATATATATATATATATATATATATATATATTACAGAAAAATATTACAAGAAATTGTTATGAATACACTGCACTGCCTTATAGCTAAGACATTGTTGTGCAATAGTTTTGAAATTGTGTGGGCCTAAAATATATTTTTTTAATTGATCCATTGTGAAGAGGTACATGCATAGCATTGTAAGGCAAAATACTTCCTAAAACCTTTTTTTTATGTATTTATCACTATTATATTGTATATACAAACAGTTGTATGCACAGGTTTAGCCCTGATCAAATTGCATGGGTTGTTTGTTGAGAATATGTTGTCTACAATGAATAACCTTGAACATTGATATTCATGATATTAATAAATAATAAAAATTATGTGTAGGTGTCCCAATACTTTTGTCCATATTGTGTAAGTGCAGAGTTCGGCAATTTGTAATGAAAAATGCATCAGCTAATTTTCAATGCTTAATGAATAAAGTCACTGCTAGACTGACCAATTTGGTCATATATATTAATGATGTAGTGGTACACAGTGGTTCCTGGCAGGAGCATGTACATCATCTCTGTTAGTTATGCAAATGACTAGAGAGTGCTCAGTTGGTGGTAAACCTACCCAAATGTGAGATCTGGAAATGTCAAGTAATGCACTTGGACCATCAGGTTATTAACGTTTCCTAGCTAGTTAATTATCCTGTGTTTTAGTTGGTAGGACTCAGATGGGAACCTTTGTGTTAGGTAGGAAGTGGATGGCCCTAACGATTGTTATTAATTTCTTGTTAAACAATGAATGTCAAGATTTATCATTCCATTTCAGTATTAACTAACAGAAAGCCTACCTTAGAATCTCCAGTTTACAATGTGAACTCTTCAATCCAGCAGAAAGGACCTCCACTCCTGAATCTTGCAGGTCATTGTTACTGATGTCCAGCTCTTTCAGAGGAGAGACTTCCAGTTTTAAAACTGATTCCAGATTTTCACAAGTCTTTTTTCCAAGATTACACAAGGTTAATCTGTAAAGCAAGGGTTAATGAAGTAGATTTTACAATACAAGCAAAAGGAGATTTAAGACATTGTTTCAAATGCCATGTTTGAATAACTCAGCATATTTACATTATTGGAATGGTTAGAGTGAGAAAGACAATATAATTCTGTAGCCCCAAGGGAAACAGTCTTAAGTAATGAACTTAATAACTTGAGTTTAAAGTTTAGAGAAAGCTAACCTGAGTATCTCCAGTTTACAGTGTAAACTTTTCAGTCCAGCACAGAGCAGCTCCACTCCTGAATCACAGAGGTTATTGTTACTGAGGTCAAGTTCTTTTAGAGAAGAGTTTTCCAGTTTTAGAACTGATTCCAGATCTTCACAAGTTTTTACCCCAAGATTACACGAAGCTAATCTACAAAGGGAGAATGAAGACACACATACTCAAAAGGAGCAAAAAAAAAATAATTCATGTGGCCCATCATAATGACATAGGTCAATATGGGCTGATAATCTATGCAGTACTGTGACGCTCTATGTCTGCGCTAAAATGTTAATAGACAACACTACATACTAAAGTTGGATGTTACCACAAACGCAGATAACAGCATTATTAAAGAGCAGAAACAAAACAGCTAGAATGAAAGTGCGTACAGTGACATTGTAAAGAACATGGTGCTTAGGACACACAAAATAATAATATACACTGAGTATGATGAAAGTGATGCACAGATGAGAAAGAGCTCTGTTAAAGTGATGCAAAAATCAAAAAGCCACACCTCAAACTGTTAGTTTTTAACAGCTTGCTAAATAAAGTTAAACAATATGTACATGTAATACTCTGTAAAAATTGTTTATTATATGGATTATTATGGAGCATTAATAAGCCTTTAGGCAACAAAAGAGTACTTATTATAAAATATACAATTGAATTTTTACAAATAAAATATTATACTAATTTTTTCTAGATATCTCCATGCCTGCAGTAAAAATGCCTGATATGTAAGTCAATTTTATGTCTCCTACATCCACAAGAGAGCACTCTGCATAAATATCAAATGTCCCCACAGTATAAACAGTGTTATAAACCAGTTGTCCCTCTTAGCTGGAATGCATTTACAAATACTCAATTTTGAGCAGAGATGGAAAGTATCAAAAGACATTTACTCTTGTTACTGCACTTGAATACATTTTCCCTGCAACTGTACTTTTTGAGTAGAATAATAATCATAGAACTGAACTTTTACTTCAGCTAATTTCTAATCCCAGTATTTTTACTTTGCTAATTTAATTTTAATAACATTTAAAAAAAAATGTGCATTTCAGCTTTGCAAGCCAGATAAAGCCTTACATTTGAAAGATTTAGCCCTGAAATCCAATCAAAACAAAGCAGCTCTCAGCTGCATAAACACATCAGCCCTGATGTGTCCAGAGATGTCAAGTGTAATGGAGAAAGAAATAGGAAAATATTACTTAACATCCACACATGCAGTATATGTAATATATATTTTTATGGGGCCTTTGACTCATGGGTGCCCTAGACAGCTACCTGCCTTTCTTTACTGCCCATTGGGAAGACAGTATGTTAGCACTGAGTTGCTGCCTATGTTTCTGATAATGGAATCACCCACAAGAGTGCTCTGTGCAGTGTTGGTGTCTGCTGAGACCCAATGCTTGTTAGGTCTTGTGTCTTTGCTAGTCCACTTTGAGTCCTTGTTCATAGTCATCTTCACTGATTTTGCTTCACTGTCATTACTGCTGGAAATACTGTTCCCTAGATTCATTAGCAGTTTTGGCTGCACTGTTGTTCTGGATTGGATTTAATATATTAATGGAAAAATGCTAAGTGGTGCAGTGCAGCCCTTCTGAAAGTCCCTGAGCATCAATACACATTGACATATGCTGACGGCAGATGTACGTTTATTAAAATTGACGATAAATAAAGGGTGACAAAGCTCTCCAGCTGCACCGCAACTGTTCTGCAGGCCCTCAGTGCAAGCTTTCCTAAATGAAGGGAAAGAGGGAAAGTGATATATAATAATATATATATATAATAATATATATATTTTGATATGGCTGATGTGCATCCATTAACAAAAATAAGGCAGGGCTTGGAATAAGTCAATTATATACTGATAAAAGGCAATTACAGAATCAACATAAGAAGCACATGCATGCCATGTATACACAGATACATTCTCTAACTGATAAACAGTGTCCAGTGCTTGTCAAAGCAGTTATCCTTCTTTCTTTAAATGCTTTAAATAGATCAGTAGTACAATTAGAAGGACGCATTGAGTTCTCTGTAGACGTGTTAGAAATTGCAGTCACTTCCTCTTTTAAATGACCTGGTGCTATATTACAAAAACATCTTCATTCTGAAATCTTATCTGTTCAGTCACCATCAGAACTTCAGTTCAGACAGTTATAACAGAACAACAGTTCTTAAATTCATGATCTTATCCTAAGTGTAGATAACAAACAAATATTACAGACATATTCTAACTTGACAAAATTTCCCAAATTCTGTCCTAACTTTAAGACAACCCCAGTGGTGTCCTAACTTCTTTTTGACCATTTCCATCATTTTTAGGCAGCTGTGACAGGCATCATAGTTCACTACTAGCATAATGATTTTACATTTATCTGCATTGGAAAGCTGTTGTTTCCCTTGTAAGTCCAACAGCATTTTAAAAATTCCAGACACTGCAGACACAACCTCCAATGTCCCCTCTTATTACTTTGAGCGCTAATGTTGATAAAAACTTGTCAAATAAACTATTACAATGATGGTGGTGAACAAACAGGAGAAAAAGTTGAATGTTTGGTTGATTATTAGGAGGAACAACGTTAGTGAGGTTGGCTAAAGCATTTGGGAAATGGAAACTGAAATGGAGGAGCAACAGCGTTCTGATAAACAGCAGGGGTAACATTTAAAATATAAGTAATCTCCAGTTCATTCATTTATTTTTGTTTTTACCTTTCTGTACACCGGTAATGGGACCTGTAACTTACATTTTTAACATTGTCTTAATTAAGTGTTTACATTTTGGCTGTGCGTGTATGGTCGGTTGCTTGGTAACAGGCATAACAGGTGATTGTTTACTGTGATTGAGTATATTAAGATTGCCTAACTGGAGATAAGATGCTATAAGATACAATTCAAAAATAAGACAAAACTTGCTTCTGTAAAACAAATTTGTGAAAAAAAGACAAAAAGTTAAGATCATACAAGATGTTCTTACTGATGTCCAGTCATGGACAATGACGAAATGTGTTTTTGTTCAACTGACTTCAGAGTGTCACAGAACGCTTCACTAAGTTTACGTATAGCAAGTCTGCAAAACAGTCTAAATCTAACACATCTTACAATACACTTAAAAGATAATGTTCTAATTGACTTAACAGCAAGATCGCAGTCAGCAGAGTAGAAGGAAAAAAGATACTGATAATTTATAAGAAAATTTACAAATTGTGTTTGTATTTGTAATTATTTGTTTCTTAATGTTATTACCTTTCAGCCATGAAGTGCACTGACATTTGATTTGCCAGATGGAAAAATACATTTTTTTTTTTTGATAACGGATTTACTCTGTACAAAAACTATGCTATTCTCAGTCTGTTAATTATTTGCACATTGCACAGACTAATTTAAATAGTACAGCATTACTAATGTAAGTAAATCATTTAAAGAATCTATAGAGTAGAGGTATGCTGTTCAATCAGGCAACGGTGTACAGCAATTCACTTTATTTTACAGTCCTTTTTATGTATTCTAGTATATGTATGTTATACTATTGTTAATAAAATGCGAAAGAGTAAAATACTGATGAATTCACATGTACAACAATGCACTTTATTTTACAGCCCTGTTACCACAGTATTAAAGTACATGCTAGTGTGTGTACCTAGTAGTAGTGTTGCATGTATGGTTATTGTCTACACTATAAACAATGCCATCTTGGTCTTTTTTCATATGTGAATTAAATTAATTCATTATATTAATATTTGATATTTGAACATCTTTTACGAATGTTTAAAATCCTGAAATGGAAATGATACTTACAGAGCTCGTCTTGTGTTTTTCACCACTGGCAGTAGTCTGTTCAGTCCTTCATCAGATGGCCTGTATTTCTTCAGCTCAAACTTCTCTTGAGTCTCCGCTGACATCAGCAACACAAACACCAGAGCTGACCACTGTGGAGATGAGAGTTCTTGTGTTAAAATATCTCCTGAGTTCAGGTGTTTCTGGATTTCAGTTGTCAGGGAGTTGTCTTTCAGTTCACTCAGGCAGTGGAGGAGATTCATTCTTCTGTCAGGTGATATTTCTTCATGTAGTTTCTTCTTGACATAGTCAGCTGTGTCACTAACACTCTCTGTTTCAATCTTCAGATTTGGCAGAAGTTCAGTTACGACATGCTGACCTGAAAGGCCGAGGAGGAAACGGAGGAAAATGTCCAGGTGTCCATTTTCACTCTGCAAAGCTCTTTCTACTGCACACTTGTGGAGATCTGTTATTCTCTTATTTCTCCATTTAAGTTTGTTCAGCAATGTCTTCTCTTCAAATGCATTCCTTTTCTCATTGCAATGTGAGTAATGCACATATAAAGCTGCAAGGCTTTCCTGAACACTCAGATGCACAAAGCTGAAAATTCCCTCGTGCTGATTGAAAATCTGTGTGCACACTCCTGAGAACACAGTGCCATCACTGACATCAATGCCACATTTCTTGATATCATCTTCATAGAAAATCAGAGTACCACTCTCAAGATTACAGAAGGCCAGTTTACCAAGCTTCAGAATGATGTGCTCAGCATCAACAGTTTTGGTTTTCTCACTGTATTTATTTTTCATTAGGTTTATCTGCTGTAGTAGGAAGCTTATGTAGATTCCTGTCAGAGTTGTGGGGATTTCCCTATTGCTTTCTTGAGCCATCAGTGGCTGAAGGACAGTGGCGGAGATCCAGCAGAACACTGGGATTTGACACATGATGTGGAGACTCCTTGATTTCTTTATGTGTGAAACAATTTTCATTGCTATGTCCTCATTACAGTACTTGCTGAAGTATGCCTCCTTTTGTTCATCACTGAATCCTCGTACTTCTGTCACCAGATTGATGTAGCCCCGGGGAATCAGATGGGCGGCTGCTGGTCGGCAAGTTATCCAAATGAGAGCAAACGGAAGCAGATTTCTGTTGATAAGATTGGTGAACAATGATCCCACTGAGGTCTTCTCATGGATATCTTTTACTTCCTCTCCATCTTCAAAGTAAAGAGGAAAACAGCACTCTTCCAGTCCATCAAAGATAAACAAAATTTTACCATCCTCCTCTGGAAGAGACCTCAGTTCAGTTTTTGAAGAAAAAAACAGTGATTCAGAAGTTCAATCAAACTGAACTCTTTATCTTTCTTCAGATTCAGTTCACGGAAGGGAAGAGGAAAAATGTAGCTTATGTCCTGGTTCTCGTCCCCCTTTGCCCAGTCGAGTATAAATTTGTTGACTGACACAGTTTTGCCCACTCCAGCAATTCCCATTGTCAACACTTTTCTGTTCCGTCTACTGGTACCAGGCTGGACCTTGAAAAGGTCACTGCATTTAACACAAATTTCCTCACCAGCAGGTCTGTTGGAAGACATTTCCATTTGCATCACTTCATGCTCATGAACGACTCCTCCACTTTGATTCTGCACTATAATGAGATCAGTGTAGATATCCTCCAAGAACCTCTCATAGCAGGTTTTTGAATTCCCAATTAGTATACTTTCATATCGCTGCCTGAGGGTGGACTTCAGCTGGACGCAGTGCTGTTGATCTTCTGTGAGAGAAATAAGAAACAAGGTATTTCTTATGAGGTAAATCAATTTATCAAGGGTCAGAGTTACTGCAATTAGCCTATCGTAGTGTTTGTCATCATTACAAAGAAGAACAAGAAACAAGATAACTGTATTTTCTTATATTTTCACTTTGTTTATGACTGTATCATGAGTCTAATGGCACAAATTAGCAAGAAGAATTAATACTTATTTCTTAAAGTATAAGCCAGACCCCATGCCACTGTTGGATGCTCCAACTCACTTGTCACTTGTTCTCAAATATGTAGGATTTATGGGCAGATAAATACACGAAAAAAAGACGACTTCTTTTTGTAACACAACATTAAAAAAGGTCTAGAGTGAGGTCAGAGTAACTATCTTAAGCACCTACATAGTGTAAAATATTGGTTTTTTTATGAAATTATCTTATGTTTATTTGTAGTGAGAACACTAACTGAGTTTTCAATCTCTGCTGTTTCCTGTGGATATATTTTGAATTTGAAGCTCAAAATATGATATGATCTACCTGTAAGACCTATAAAAGTGAGACCTGATAACAGACAGAACAGAGTATATTTTCTACTCATTTTCAAATCTAAAAACAATAAAAAAGCAAGTTTGTGTTAAAGAAAGTTGCAGGATCATCATCAATGCTTTGTGAAATCGGTTTGTTTATTAAGATAGCTTAAATAAGTTATACAGAAATGTCAAAGCAACAATCTACTTTCACTTTTTTCATGACTCATTTATTGTTTCATTGAATGTATCTTTCTGGTTATCCTCATGATTTTGCCTGAAATACTCTATATCTATTTCATAGTAGCATTGTTTATCTTCACAAGAATATAGTGACCCTGAAGCTTTGTCAGATATCCTATTGTGCACTGACACAGTGACATTAGCAAACAGCCAGTAAATAGATTAGTAAAGTACATAAGCACATTATCCTATGGATTAGAATAGTACAGACAGTACAGTACAAGTGCTGTTTATTTTCCTCGACCCTCAAACCTGCAAATTCAGTGAGTTCATCACACATGATCCAGACCAGGATCAGGTGTTTTAAGGCCAGAAACAGTTGAGAACATGCTGAGCGACGGTGCTGAAGTCCACAAAAACAGGGTTAAAGAACAATAGCAAAGCTTGTCTTGTTAACCTTTTAGCGTATGCTGCTAAGCTAGTTAGTGCTAGCATCTACAAACCTGTAAGGTGGTACAGCATCATTCAATAGCTGAGTTCATCTAAAATACTTATATTTTCAAAATGTTTGTTTTACACAGGGGCAAAATACACACTTTAGTGTTACATTAACAAATATTGCTCATATTACTGGACATGCAAGCGCAATCCTATCTGCTAATTCTGCGCTCAATACTATCTGTTCCACCATGTTCTGTGCAGATGACGTTTCTCTCAGTAGGCTTGGCTATGGCTCAGAAGACCTGTCACTTCAAATCAGTTGACCAATAGAGAGTGCAGGTGAATGCCTTCTTGTAAGACCCAACACCTATGAAAATGTGTCAAAAGCAAAAGAGCGATAACGGAAGCAAATGCATGTATCAGCAAATTTGGCAAAGAGAGAAAAATGAAAAATAAATTTAGATCAGAATAAATGAAAACAAGCAATCCATGAGGTTTTAATTGATGTCTGGTGCATCTGGCATTCCTATCTAAGTGAACGACTCTTGAAAGAATATGAAGAAGCATAACTGATATAGTAGTGCGAAAAATTCTCCCTGAATTCTGCATCTTGATTATAGTCTTACTAGTTTATTTCCTATGGTTGGCTGACTAGTTCACATACATTTTAAGGCCTGGATGATTCCTGGAACACGATAAAGCTTATAATTGTCAGATAAAATATATTTTTAACAAAAACAGTAAATAAAAGTGCAGAGCAACTGAGGGTCGGGAGAAAGGTACAACACAGAAAAGAAATGAAAGGAGCTAAGAGCTGGGAAAATGCACTAGACAAGGAATGAGAGGCATGGTTAGCACATCAGCAAACTAACCTGAGCAAAGTTCTTTGTTTGTTCTGTTTATTTTTCCCACTGATGGCGAAGTCCGCCCAAAGGGCCAACCTGATTCTCACACCCCATTTTTACAACCACAAACACAGAGAATGAGAGCATATTTTAGGACATAAAATATGCAGGCCATGGTGTTTCAGCTAAAACTGTACACTAACTGAGTCTCTAGTCTGAGCTGCAGTGGAGGAGGCTGTGGTACTCTTACCAGTTTCTTCTTCTGTTCCGTCTCCACCTGAAAATGAACAGCATAAGTAGAAAAAGAGAAAAAAAATCAGTTTTAGTCATTATTATTTAGCTGGGTCAGTAGAAACTTTGGCCCAATCCCATTTCACCCCTTGCCCCTACCACTTAGCCCTTAGCCCTCTGGTTTGCATGTTCACATCTAGGGTTAGGGTGTCCCAATTTTTGTTGAGATAGAGGGGTAGTGTGAAGTGTTAGGGCTACATGGCCCTCCAAATGGAGATTTTTCAGAGGCACACTCCAAACAGAGTGTTATCAGAAAAAAAGAAAAATCCAGCAAGATGGCTGAACAAGAGACCAAAGAAACCCACAAATGTATTTTCTCAGTTAAAAATTACAATGACTTATAATAATCATATTATCTTAGTTTAATGTGTTTCAATGTATTATGGTCATTTTCTTCAAAACAAGCATAAAAAAAATCGCTAATAGCATGCTAATGTTTTGGTAGCTAGCTAGGTAACTTTCCCATTCCGCCTTAAATAGTCCAGCAGTTCTGACGCCTGAAGTGCCAGAATGTAACTGCTGCACCATTTAAGGCAGAATGGGAAAATTCTAACCAGAAGCTGGCGAGTAGCTGACTTCAGCTTCGTATCATCAAAGAATTAGTAGTGGTCTTATACCCCCTCTTTGAAAGCATGTGATGCCCTAAATGTAACTAAGCAGCAGCAGCAAGGTCGCAGAACTTTTCCCTTCTCTGTTATCGCTGAAGACGTGCTGGGGCGCCTACAGAGCAGCGCTAGTAGCTGTTTTTTTTCTTTTTATTTAGGGTTGTCCCATTTCGTAGGGCAAGATTTCAACCAATACCCCTTGGAACTGAGTTACAAGTTAGGGTGACACTTGAAAACAAAGGGGTAGGGGTAAAAAAGAACAAATGGGAATTGGGCCTTTGTTGTAAATACCCTTTTACTCCTGTCAGCTCCTTGTGCTGAACAGAGAAAACAGTCATGTGTAGTGCATGGAGGATTGTGCAGAAATCGGCAGATTTGTTTCAGTCATTTTAGTTGATCTGTGTTGCGATTTTATGATGTACATGAAGTATACAGGGTGCATTTAGCTACTTTTCCCAATAAAAAGATCTTGGCATTAGAGGAGTAAACCATATTTGTTCTATTGTAATGTCTGACTTTTTAATGAATAGTGTTCAACTATACAGAAAGAATCTATTTTATATTGTATTGTGTCAATTATGAATAGCATCACTCTTCTACAGCAGCGCTGGGGCTATTTTCCCTGTAGTCATTTCCATAACCTTTACTAACATAAAGCATGGGACATCAGCATCTAATTATGGCCTAGTCATTTAGAGTAAGGATGGGTCGAGGCTTGCCACTTTGCTAAAAAAAAGCTTCAGCACAAAATACAACTATGTAAAAAATATTCCTCAGTAAGCAATTAGGATGATTTTAGGTATTTCTCTACGGTGCATGATAGCATAAAAAAAAATCATGGAATCCAGAGACACATCTGTGTGTAAAGGACAAGATCAAAAACCATGGAATGCCTGTGACCGTTGACCCCTCAGACAGCACTACATTGCAAACCAGTATGTTTCTGTGATGGATATCACTGCATGGGCTAAATAACTTTGACAAATCCCTATTAATAAACACCGTCCACTGCTGAATTAACAAATGCAAGTTATGGCTATACAACACAGAGTGGAAGCAATTTATCCAAAAATTCTGCTGTTCTAGCTTATAATGGCTGAATATCATTGAGCTTGGAGGTTTTATGGAGAAAAACAGTACAAAGATAAGAGTTCATCTCGAGTGGACTCAAGTTAATCTGAAATTATATCCAAATCCAACAATAATGTATTGTTGTCTGATTAGTCAACCTTTCCGATTTATAGAAATACTGGACGTCATGTTCACTGGACCAAATAAGAAGAGGAACAACCAGATTGTTACCAGCATAAAGATTAAAATCCATTGTCTGTCATGCTACCAAGGGTGTTTTAATTGGTAGATGCAGATGTGTGAAAGCGACGTAAACACTGAACACATTGTGGATCAACATATGCTGCTTTCTTGTCTTTTTCAGGGATGTCCATGCTTAGTTTAAAGCCACATTCTGCATGTGTTACAACAACAGTGCAGCTGCTAGACAGACTTGCCTGCAGTACAGACCTGTCTCAAGGTGTGTCACATTACTCATCACATACTTGTGTCACATTATTAATCTCAAAATACATCAAAGAAGGCCCCATGTGGTTGTGCAGCTAAAGAATTGTATAACACAAGAATTGCAAAAATTCTGCTTTCAAAACTGGATCAGTTTGTGTCTTCAGTCCCTGAATGATTATTAAGTGCTGTTAAAAGAAAAGGTGATGTAACACTGTAGTAAATATGCTCCTGTCCCAACTTCTGAACATTTACAAAAAGTGAAGATCTTAAGGTAGAACAGAAAATATTGTGTTTTTATAGTTTTCAATTTAATACAAGTCAATCACAATTTAATTTTCTTTTTAAAATTCTAATTTAATTTTTACCCCTGCTTAATTCCCTGATGTGAAAATTCATCAATAGCTATCAGTAGCCACCATTTTTGAAATGCCAAAAAATTACCGTCAGTGTCAAAGTCCAAAGTGTAACCAAAATAATGGGAAAATGCCTTGGACAACTAAATATTCTGCTATTTAGGATGCAAGAATTCTGTGTTCGGTCCATACTTTCATAAGTTACCTGTTAACTGTTTTTATTCCTTCTCAACTCAATTTTATCCTGTTTAAAATATTTTTCTTTTTGTTCATTGTTTGTTCATTTTGGGGCATATAGAGACCCCTCTCATCCTAGACATCACATGTTCCACCCGCCTCCCTCTGACAAATGAGTTGCTAAATCCAGCACAACTAAACATGCTTTCCCCACAGAGGTGTAATACTCATTAACCGCAGTGGGCATGTTGTATATTAAACTGAATCTCACCAACCCTGTTTACTGTGGTCCATAACTATATTTTTTACTCTATACCATTACTAGTTCATTACCGTCTTCGGGTTTAGTCCATAGACTTCTTATCTCCTCAGCCAGTTGGTTCTGGTTCCTCTTTTTCAGGATAGCCAGTGTGACCTCTATGGCTCCACTGTGTCCAAATTTCTGCAACAACTTTTCCACAGTGTCAGGTCTGTCTGCCTTCTCCAGAAGAGCCTTTTGGATGAGGGAGATTCCTTCCACACCGTTAATCAGATGCCACTTGAATCCTTCCAAGTCATCTTGCCTCAAGTTTTCAAGAGTGTACAGCAACACTTCTGGAATGTTTGCCATCTTGTATAGCTGGAAAGGAAGACAGACAATAGACTGAAGTATAATAGAGGGTTCTGGTCACTAAAGAGAAAAATCTAGACAGGGTACTACAGGAGAACTGTTTTTGCTGGAATGTTTCCTTCAGCAGAAGTCTCTACAAAAACAGACCATTTGTTGCTTAAAGGAATTTGCTTTAAAAATTACTCACTGTATATGTTGTGTGAGCCAGTTCACGTTGTTTATTATTTGGGCCAAAACAATAGAAAAAATAAGTGACTGATACCAATTTAAGAGGTTACAAATTCAGATAACTGATATTTTTAAATTGTATATTCCAGCTGTTCAAAGTAAACACTTTTCATCAGATTGTTCATCAATTCTTTTCACTCAAAATGTTTTCCTGTGTTACAACATGCTTATTTAAAGTTATTTTAACACCAATCATATGTCGCACAACTGTTTCATATGTGGCACAAGCTTTCAAGCTATCAGTGTGAGATTGCAAGTTTAAATCAAAGCAGTACTAGAAACATTATTTTTCAGCACAAAAATGTGTGGTATTTGTCAGTGAATCCAGTAAAACCACAGGTTTTTGTTGGATTCATCCAATAAAGTTAGCCAATTTATCATTTGTGTTTTATTTATTGGAAAGCATCTAGTATTGGAGTAGTAGAGGCAAAATCCTCCTAAATAAAGCAAAGAAAATAGTGTTAAAATGTTCAACAGATAACATTTCACCAACTCATGTATCACATATTGTACAATTTATATTAGTACTTTAATAAGCAGTATTTTGTAGGCTTACAGGACGTTACACATTCTAAAGTAAAGTATCTGTCAGTACACACACACACACACACACACACACAGCCTGTCTCAAACTAAAAAAAAAAAAACAATAATTCACCAATAAGAGGAAAATGCACAACTTCAATAAAAATATTCATCAAAACCTGAGAGTAATTTTACCTTTTTCTGGGTTTAGTCTATAAGTCTTCAGTTTAAAATTCTAAATCTTCATCAGGTTGAGCAGTGTGAGTTTACAGATCTACAGAAGAGAACAGAACTTTTTCATAGAATCCCCATTTCACCACGGATCACATTAGACATGATCTCCCTGCGTCACCTCTGATGTCCAGACTGAACTGAATCTTACTTCTCTAAATGACATTTAATGAGAAAGACAGAAACCAGTCAGAAAACATTCCACGTTCCGGTCGGTGAAGTATAACTGAAGCACCCACCAAACCTGTTTATTTGTAATGGTCTTAGTCTACATTTGCTTTTCACCATATAAATTATTCAGTCACAGAAAGGTGTTTTTCATGCCAGGCCCCACATTATCTCACCTAATGCAGCTCCTGAAGGGCTTGATAAAAATATTAGTATATGGTTTATTAGATGATCAGAGCTGTTGAGGAGGGGAATTTTATGAGTGAAAGTATGAGCACCGGACAGACTCATAAGAATACTGGACATGGGATGAGAAGACAAGTACATGATGTTTGTAGGAGCATTTTGTGGTTAAATTCTGCAGTAAAGTGTGTGTGTGTGTGTGTGTGTGTGTGTGTGTGTGTGTGTGTGTGTGTGTAAAACTGTGTGACTGTGCATGCACGTCCTTATCTCTGGGTCAAAGCTGTAAATGAAAGTGTGTGTGGCTGAATATGAAAACAAATCTAACACATTAAATCGTTGTCATGTAACAGTGTATTGTACTTGCTTATGGTAAATGACGACCCAGTCATGTTTGCGTGAGAGAGGCTGGCAGACGGAGACAGACAGAGAGAGAGATAAAAAACAAGACATTCTTTGGCTTCAGTTCAAGTTCAGGTTGAACGTTTGTATTCAGTTACGTCTACTTTTCCCAAAAAAACTGGTTGAGCTGTGTTGGGTTCCAGGAATTGTAGACATTTTCACCTAATACTAAAAATTTGATTAATGCTAATACTACTACTAATAATAATAATCCTAATATTATCATTTTATTTACAAAAAAAACGTTACTTTTGTAACCCACCTAAAGTGAGGGTTTATTTTCGTTTCATGTTTATTTTCATTTCATCTTTTGTACTACACGCAAAGTACCGTGGTTGCAGTTCTCGCAATTTCCTGTAGAGCTTTAAGGTAGTCTGAGCCAGCTTGGAAAGCCGGTCCAAACCAGTTTTAGAAAAAAAAAACAAAAACAAAACAAAACCACGAAACCACTTGCAGGTTAGCTTTGGATTCACTACTCTTAAGAGCTTTGAATTTAATGAGCTAGAGTAAGAATTTTAAGATACTAGGACTAGAAGTATTTTATGTCTTTCACTCTGTATAGGTGAAATTATCCATGGAGGTTTTTTTCTGTTGATTATTTCTCTTTTTAATGATCAATTTTGGTGAGTTAAACTCATCTTTTCTCATGCTAGTCAGTGTGAATTACCATGTTATGCTGCTGACAATAAAAGAGTAGGGGGAAAACTGTTCAAACTGTGTTGGAGTAGGAGTTGTGATTGTACTATATTTTGGATTTGTAAATGATTTCAGGTTGATGTTTTTAAGTATTTGTTTGAAAGCAGAATGCTAGTGCTTAGCTTTGTTAAGAGCAAACTACTTAGTTAAATTTGTCTGTACAGTAATTCAATACCTGACATACAAATTTACTAACAGAGTAATTGAAGATTTTCAGCTGTAAGATCTTTAGAACTGATATTGAAGGAATTGATAAGATGTTCATGAGTAGTGTTCAATAAATAAAGGATATTTCACTGTACAGAAGCAAAACGTTTACTGTTCACAGAATTTCCTGCAATACATCTACATAAGGATTACTAGTAAGCTGAGAAGTAACAGTGGTATTTTCTTTTCTTGCATTGAGTTTGGATCCTTGCAAGCACACACACACATCAGACTGTGAGTGAGACCAGAACCAGGACCATGTGTTGAAAGCTGTCTGCCCTGTGTGTTCAGAACCGGACAGAACCGGAGAAACAGATAAGCCTGAACTGAGATTCATCCCAAAGAAAAGAAAAGAAGCTACCAGACACAACGAAATAAGACACAACAAAATTTTGGCTCATTAGACCTAAATCCCTTGTTGCATGACACCCAGACTTTAGGATTTTGCTTGACAGGGCTTGTGTTAAAGGCTCTTCTGTTCCACATAAGAGTAGTGGACCACTATCAACCTAGTAGTGACACTGCTGTCTCATACTTACTGGGGTGGTCAGCACCACCCCAGCACTTCCATGTCAGCACCACCTAGGCTTCAGCTGATTGACAGTAGTATCGTGAATCACTGATTGTTTTACCTGTCTCTAAGGAATGAAATATCATTGTAGTGCTACGCTAACTGAGGTGATTGTTAATTTACCCATACTACTCTTTTATTACTCACACCAGCCATAATTCAGAACATGTGGATTTGGTACATTTTATTTCATATATTCTTTGTAAACTTGACTGCTAGCTATTCCATCTATCACAACTGTCAATCAAGTTAGACGATTTAAATGTCAGAAAATTCATTGTCCATGGCTGTAACATGGACAAAAACAATCACATTTGTCTGATGATCTGTTTGATATGTGGTATATTGTCTGGCTGCAGAACAGTCTGGAGAAGTGCCAGATGGCACTTCTTTTTTCCATGTGTGGTCATGTTGGCTAAACTGAAAGTCATGCTGCAGCCAGCCTTACATACCTTCTTTCATGAAATGTAAACCCGAGCTGAAATAATTTTTTGATGTGGTTACATAAAAATAAAATACTATTATTAACAACATAATCTCACACACACACACACCCTTCTGGGTCACATTGGAGCTGGAGCCTATCCTAGCAGTCATTGGGTGGAAGGCAGGATACACCCTGGACAGGTCACCAGTCCATCACAGGGCAGACAGACAGACATACAGACAGACATTTACATTCATTCACACACAGGAGTTTGTTGTAAGATTTTTTTCTGCTGTTAAATTCATGACAGATTGAAATTGTAGAGATGAATACATACAATAACCAGGTTAACTTACTAAGTTCTAAGAACTCAACATTTCAAGTTTAACTTGTTTACTTATTTTTTAAGTTTAAAAGCTGCAATATTTTTACAGTGCAAGCATTAAAAAACATCATATTCACACTGGAAATCACATTCTCTCTTGGGTTCTTAGTCCCTCTGAAGGTTTCCTCTTCTTGTTCTTAGGGAGTTTTTCTTGCTTATTGTTGTCCTTGGCAACACCTGCTGTAAAATGAGCTGTATAAATAAACTTTGAATTGACCTTACAGTGCAATTGTAGTTATGTGATTTTACAAATTTATGCAATTGTACAACTTATTTTTGTACTGCACATTATATTTTTGTTTTAGTATATCTTATTAGTTTATTGTTATAGTATATGCTATTATTTATCTCTACTTCTTCTATTTGCATGTATCTGAAGATAGTTTTCTTTACTGTACTTTGTACAGCTGCAGTAGAAGACTTTCCCTCTGGGATTAACAGATTAACAGATATTTAAACAGTTTCTTAATAGAACTATATACAACAGCTTCTATATATTCAGTAAACCACTGCCTTACTGAAGAACAGTGAAGAACCATTTTACTAAATTTCAAGAAGTCATTTTTTGGATAAGTAATTTTTAATGAAGATTTTAAAATTATTATTTTAAGATCAAAGGTAAACAGCAAATTGCACAGTAAACTTGATGATAAACACAAATTACAGTTATTATGAACAAAATTAATGTAATAAATGTTGGAGCTCGTCATGAATCCACATTTTAACTTGTTTTATTACACGTGTTCTTAAATTTTGGAATGTAGCTGGTCAGTTGAGTGTAAGTGCCTAGTGAAAAACCTAAACAATGTTGAAGTTCTACTCTATAATGTCGTGTGTGGGTCGTCAGTAATACCCCGAGATAAATAAACCTGAGCTAGTCTATTCTATGTGTGCCTTTTTAAATCCTTTTTATGATTATATTCTAGTTATTTTCATGATATAATTTGATTTATGCAGTGCGATGGATCACATAACGAACTTTTATGTTTTATTTTTTTTTATTTTCCTCCTTTTACAGTAAATATGGAACATCAGGAGATCTATCACTGCTGATGAGCCCAAATTGATATATAATATTCAACACTCTCTCCCTGATTCTCTATCTCTCCGTCTCTCACTCTATGTCTCTCTCTCTGTCTCTCTCTCTCTCTCTCTCTCTCTCTCTCTCTATTTCTCACTTTATCCCTCTCTTTCCTTCTCTCTCTAATTTTAATTAATATAACTTTATCATTCACCCCCAGAAAACAAACAAAAATGAATACTATGAATACAATATTAGAATTAAATCTTTATTAACTCAACTATCAAATAAATTAACTATTGTAGGTCTGTGGGCCTGGGAGGGACACAGGGACAGGGGATGCACAGGTGGACCTGGGAAAAAGGAAAACAGAACTGGTGTGAACTAATTGCTAATATTTGTATATATATATATATATATATATATATATATATATATATACATATGCATATATATATATATATATATATATATATATATATATATATATATATATACACACATACTTGAAGTAAATGCTAAAGATGTATTGTGTACATGTGTATTGTGAACGGGAACATGACTATTTTGTCTTACGAATACCTGAATGTAATTTTGGTTTAGTCCACTGGGAGGGGCTATAGTTATCCAAGGAGAGGCCCTGTCCATGTAGAGGGGGCTAACTGCCGCAAGTAAGATGGCTAGTCTCGCTGCTGACGTGCACCCTGAGATAGAGAGGGAAATGAAGTGAGAATAGTTTTGAGTAAATAGTTTTGTGCAAGTACCACTGGTGAAGGAACCTTTATAGTACTGTTTGGATTTTTGATAACATGTGTGCAATAAAAAAACAGGGAAAGAGACTCATTTAACCAGCCTTGTGCTCAAACTTCTTCTAAACATGCCAACACGGTAACCTCCAGGCCACTTCAAGTCCACTCTACCACCTTGAGTCTGACTGGATGCTGTTACTGGGAGGCTGAGTGGAGCAGGGAGGTTCTTATAGCAGTGACTTACAAAGGAATCAGGAGGAAAGGAAACCATAATGTCTGTGAGCTTGGACTGAATGA